AAATATGTCATTTTCCACCCAGAAAAACAATTTGGAAAAACGTAAATTTTCATGTTGCTAAAGTTGTTTCCTGAAACACCCATTAACAAAATCACAAAGCATTTTAGAGTATTGTTATTGTAACGCGCACTGAATATATATTCTGCGTGAGGAAGAAAGGTATCAGGTTACCTGTAACTTAGAAAGTTGTCGTACAAATTCCATTAACGTTAAATCCAATAAATCTTATGAGATAGAAATCAAAAAGTATGAAAACAAACAGTTTCGTGTGGAACTTTAAGAAACTGTTCATTTTGCGGTCTTGACCACCCTGTATGAACTATCCAGGAAAATGCTTTAGCAATATGAAAAATATAAATAATATTTTACTATTACGGTAAATTCAATACTCTAGCTATTGCTACGTTTGAATGGGCCTATCTCAATCTGCAGCCATAAACTGTAGGTTTTTCTATTTAAAAAAATGTATATTGGGGCAGCACATAGTTAATAATCACCATATAGATATAAAATTTTTCCGAACTGTATTGACTACAACTATCGAATTAATCTTTTTGAGATAACATGTGTAATAACGAAGCTATCGATCGTGCTCACTCAAAAAGATCACCCTATATGCAAAATTCGAAAACTATTGCAAAGTTACATTAGTTCTGTCCTGTTCTAGTTTTTATACATGTCCCTTGTACCATTATGTAACGCTACAGCTGCAATATTTCACTCCCATGACATGTTCATGTATAATAACAATAAAAGCTAGATGCAATAACTGTAGTCATCTTTTAGAACTGTTATTGTTGTGGTAGTTAAATTTAGAAGAATATTTATGTGTAATGGAAAACGACTTTGAATACCGTCGAGCTGTATTACTATATCCAACCTCCCACTTTCATCTATGCCTCCAACGTACGGCAAAATTTTATGCTTGTTGTTAAAATAACAATTACGGATATGACTGGTGGCTTAGATTGCAAAGGTATGATCGAGGTTGTTGTTGGCACAAGCAAAGTCACAAAATTTTCTCTCTCCCCATTCATTTTGAATGGCTCATCTTCGTTCAGAGCAACGAATTCAGACACTCGGTAGAAGGAGCTAGTCAAGGATTTGTTTGTCTCCTTATTTTCAAGATCAGTAGTGAGGATCGCACATCAAGTGCACTTGACAGTTCTTTCATCAAATTCATATTTAGTGTTATTCTTTAAAAGTGAGAGTATTTGCAGATATTTGGGTGTCAGCGGATTCTAAGACATGGTGCTTCTTACATAATTTACAAATAGTGGCACAAGCCTAATGAAGGTAAATGTTTTCACCGGTAAGTGTTATTATTATGTTGTCACTTTGGTAGGCATTGGTAGACAGATGAGTCAAAAGTATGCACTAAAAATATGCGAAGGAGATAAACAATGCAATGTAAACATATAGGTTTGACACCTTCCGAACTATTCGAATATGTTTGTTTGGGGTGATGACCTGGATGCGTCCCTACTTAACAATATCAATGAGAAAGTGTGGATGCGCCAAAGTGGCTGAACGGAACCGACTGAGATTTCGCATAGAGATAAATCATAGTTTGGCATAGAATATAAATCCCCAACCCTATTTATCCCGTGAAATTACTTTGAAATATCGATGTCGGGGACTACAGCCCAAAGCGCTTAATTGAGTTTGACATTGAGATGTTTGGCATGGAAGTGCTCACTCGCTGGTCCGACCGTAACGAATAAGACTATGTGACTTTGAAGTTGAGTCATTAATTTTCAGATAATGATTGTAGAAGGAAGATAAACCAAAATATGTGTGTAAAAATAAAAAAAAATTAAAAAAAAAAATTTACCTTGTTTTATAAAGTATCCTCCCGACAAGTATTTCAGTGCGGACCTGTAATTTGATCGTCAGTCTTGGAGCACCGGCATGCAGTCCCCTGTGAGGGTCTTAAGTCACCTGATTCACGAGCCCGTGGTACTACATTAACAAAGGCACGAGGGTTGGTTGCACTCGATTGGGAAACCGATCCGCATAAACATGTGCCTTTTTTATTTCGTTTGAGCCACGCAACAGATACCACTATTCACTGACACTGACTGTATACAAATAATGAAATAATTGTAAAAAGCATCGTTCCAATTCTTTCGCTTTTTTTTTCCCGATGCGATGAACCAGATACGGCGGATTATATCCGTTGTCGCCAACACGACCACATAATATTATTATTGAGACAGGGCGGGTAACTTCAAACTTCCAAAGGGCTATAACTTTGTTACTTTAATTTTACCAGGAAAATGGTAAAGGAAAAAACATTTCTTTTGATCAGATCTACTCACTGTTAAAATAAATGACTCAACTTCGAAGTCACCCTGTATAAATAGGGCACTTGCATCGGGCATTTAATGCATTTCGACATTTATAATAATAATAAACTCTCTTTATTTGAGCGAGGTTTAGCCTAGGTAGACCTCCACCTAACACGTACAAAAATAAATACAAACATGAATAAAATAGATGAATGACAAGAAGACTGACAATACACCTAAAGTATTATACTTATTTAATGTAATTACACACAAATGAAGAAATACTATTTTTATTAGCAGAAGTGAAAGCTAACTATCTTTAATTTTGGCACTGTACGAGTATAAGCAAATTCTTGATATCATTTTTAAAGTTGTCAAATGGCAAAGGTTTACTTTCAGGTCAACTATGAATTGTATTAGATCGCTTTAAAAAGTGAAGCTTTTATGGAAAAATGAAGTTATGTGGATAGGGATGGCGAGTGTACCAGTATTTGGAAGCGAATATAGTATAGTAAGTGATATTTATAACTTACATTCAACCAACCTAGTTTGTGAAAGGATGTCGAAATATGGTCGTACTTTTTCAAGCTTTCTAGCAAGAATTTTGAACCTTTTACAAGCGTTTTGTAGATAGCGAATCTAAAAATGCACGGTAAACAATATCTTAGTGATTGTTGAAACGATCAATGATTGGCATAGAATTTTCGTCGTTTTGTAGTCTACAATTTGTTTATTGACGTTTAAAGACTCTTTTAATATATTCACATATGGATTAAATAGACACTCGTCAAGAAAAATAACTTTTCAACTGGTTCAAATACCTGAATAATTGCGCCATTCGGATATATGTTTGTATGTCTTTTAATTTATTTCCTTATTTTTTTGTGAGAAAATACGATCACTTTCCATTTTGTAGGTTTTGAACAGAGGTTATGACTTTTTGCGGAATTATCAATAGCCTTTAAATCCCCATTCATTTGATATTCTGCAACTACAATTTTGTCATTATTGAAGTTGTTGTTTCCTTAGATAGTCTAATCATATGAGCAAATTTCTCCGAAATGATTGTAATGTCTGGGTTTATTGCTGCAAGTTGTTCAAGGGGGCATTTAAAATACGGACGCATATAATGGATACACCATTTTTTGTGGGAAAACTTTAAATTCGACAACAAAGAATGAGAAAACGTGTTTTTTGGGATTAAATCGAAAGTGTTGACAGGGACTGAAAACCTTTTTATATAGATTTTTAGTTTTTTATGAGACCTACAAAATGAGACCACACGTGAAAAGATCTGACTAATAGCAAAAAAATTATGCCCGGAAAACGAGGCAATATGCAGGTTTTGGCACTTGGTGGTAATGCGACGATAATTTCACGCAACTACTTGAAATTCTTCAAATCCGTAGGATTCATACCTCTAACTAACAACATCAAAATTAGAGTGTGTTTGTTGAGTTTTTTGAGAAAACACCTGTTTTGCGGCTATCACTACTTTTTAGATAAATGTTATTTTTTTGTGAAAAACAAAGGTTACGTTTTTTTCTACTAAAACAAATTCAAACATTTCGTATTTGCGTGTAATTGAACAAATGCGCTACGATATTCAAAAAACATACATTACTATACACATTTTAAAACAAAGCGGATGTGTCGATCATCTTTTGTTGCGAATTACTCACAAATACGAAATGTTTGAATTTGTTTAGAAGAAAAAACGTAACCCATTCTTTTTTGCATAAAAATAACATTTATCTTCCGGAACGGTTTGCGATTCATATCGTCAAGGTAAACTAGTGTATTTTGCTATAAAATGCCTTTTGAGATAACCCTGTATATTGCTCAATAAACCAGTAGTGATGGTAGGAAAACAGGTGTTTTGGGATAAACAATTAAAAATTTTCAAAAACTACTTGACTAATCTACTCCAATTTTGTTGTGATTATCAGAAGTATGAATCCAACGAATTTGAGGAATTCAAGTAGTTGCATGAAATTATCGTCGCACTAGCAACGACTGTCAAAACCTAAAGTTTGCTTTGGTTTTCGGCGATAACTTTTTTGCTATTAGTCGGATCATTTTGTGTGTGGTCTTATTTTGTAGGTCTCATCAGAACCTAAAAATCTTATACGAAGAGTTCTTTGTTTCTGTCAATACTTTCGTTTGAATCCCAAAAAACACGTTATCTCATTTTTTGTTGTCGAATAAAAGTTTTCCCACAAAAAATTGGTGTACCGATTTATGCTTCCATGTTTTGAATACCCTCTTGAATAACTTGTAGCAATAAATCCAGACTTACAATTATTCACAAACCAGTGGTATTTCGTCTATGATTTAGTCTATTTTTCTTTATTCCAACTCTGTGGATAGTCTAAATTAGCTTCAGATTCTATTCAGTAGTAGTCTATTATATTTGAAAAATTGTGTTGAATCTTGCAGGACAAACATAGGAAGATAGAAAAGCTGATTGACAATATGATGTTGGTATGCTACTATTTTTTGGTTTTGAACCTACAAACCAGTATTAGTTTTAGTCGAAGGATGGAAATTTAATCAAAATAAAGCCCTAGAATCGTACTTAAAATAACAATATCAGACATGGTCTTCCAATTTACGAAAATGCCTCGAATTATAGAACTTTCTAGATGCCAATATCTGATAAACTATCTCTCTCTATACCAGTATGATAATATGAAACGTTTTGACTGACATACCTTAACACTCTTGTCTCTTGGTCGGGCCCTAGTATCAAAGCTCTGAAGCTTTCACGTTCTTATTATAGTAGTCCGCTGCCACTGGAACGATAATCAAAAAAGATACATATTTTTACAAGAATTCACATTGATTAGTAAAAGATGTATTTTACTTCTTAAACTTCTCAAAGCGTTGATTTTCGGAAGCTTCCTTGACTTCGATAGCCGTATAATATCTCATGACTTCAATAGCCACCTTCTCACCACTGTCAATCATAGTAGGCATTTAGGTAATTAATTCTGTATATGTAGTGTAAGCCGATTGCAACTGATTCTGTATACCATTATGGTGAAAATTACTTGGGATTGAGGTATTAATCGCATAATTGTTATTGAAGTCGGTGCAAATTGGAATTGTAATTACCGCTAAGCCGCAGAATTTTAGTCTAATGAAATGCTGTTGCAGTTCTGCGATTCCCTATATAAAATCGTTACGATTTTGGACGGCATTAATATAAATGCCTAATTGGACAATTATTTCGAAACAAAATTAAGGTGGCAAGGGTAAAATTACTCGCATATTAACGGGTACACAGTGGCTCACAACATGTTTAGCAGCAGTGAAATTGAAAACCAGCAGAAACTGTGAATTTATCAGTCTTCTTAATAAAACTATGATGTTCCAATACTGCTCTAGCCTCATATGATTGGTATTTAGGCATCTCTACAATCACACACGTCTTATATAAAGTGATAATAGGGCAAACAGTGCGCTTATCAAACGCTGAACTAAATGTGTTTGCTTCCTGTCTTAGCACCGTGACCGCATACAACGTTGTATCCTGCTTATTAGCAATCATCAGCATAATATAGGTCTAGTCACGTGATACAACAAACAGAAAGCAAGCAAACGGGTATGGTATGTTGAAAAACTCAGTATATTGTGCTCAAAGGAAGAAAACTCTGACAACTGCCACCTACAAATTGGTCGCCAAATTTGGTACATCTTCGTTCCATACATTGACAGTGACAAAAGACTCTTACACCTTTGGCCTACATACCGTTGATTCTATGACCAATTTGTGAAATACTGTCAAGATGTGTTCCAACCTTGGTCTCGATATCGTACCAGAACCATCCGGTTATCATTTGGTATGCTTTCTACGCATGCGCTGATTGGTCATGATTCCAGAATTGTTTCTGGACTTGAAGATAGCTGGAAGAATTTTGGAATCGTTTTTGTAACTAGGAATGACAGCTGGCCCATTCGTCACTACTCGTCGCAATGAAAGCTGGAGAATATCAATAAATCATCTATAATATACACAGGCTATCAGACAACGGCTACAGTTGATTGGAGGTAAGAGGCAATCACCTGACAACTGTCCCCACTGCAGAGATCAGTCCATTTTATTCCCCTTTCAATCAGGTACCCCGCGTTTACTGTAACAATACCGTTTCGGAACGATCCCATCATTGATTAGAACGAAATTCACAATTGTTCCGTTACCATAGAGAATATGTTGGAATAGTTTTTCCTAAATGCACATGCGTGTCACCATTATAGAACGACTCTCCGTCGGGTTGGAACAAAACTGCCATCAACATGGTCTTGATTGATATTGTAAAGGTCATAATCAAATAAAATTAAACACCAGGACTTTTCCGTGCCCTCTTGAGTGATTTTTTTTAATTCCTGAACAACAAGTGCAAAATCCATCTCAGTCAAAGTATAAAATAAGATTATCCTTGAATTGTCCTTATTGGGGATCATGGCCAAAATCTTTCTCCTATTTGGTCGGATAAGTACAATAGGCAGACTCATCATTTTTAGACTAGACTAATCAAAGGGTAACTTTGGTCCAAGGAAATTTCTGTTCTGGAACGCTTAGAAATACATCATGCTCAATTTTTAGACCATATGTTCTGAGCGGGGTCCTTTGTTTCTCATGGATCTATACGTATTACCTCTGGAACAGAAAGCGACCGTGTTATTCAAACTTTTCGAAAACATGTGTCAATACAACAACTTGAACAAGTAAAAAATCCACGTATTTTAATGAGTTGTGATCGAACGCCAAAAATACAATGAAGAATGAAATAAGAGAGACGACAAGTGGTTATTTATGATCACCTGCTGCAACCAACGTTTATACTATTTTTACGCGTCTTCTAATCATGTCCAAGGATTATCCTCAAAGGTGTCCTGATTCACAATAACTTTAAGCTGTAACTTATATTTGCATGTGGTGAAGATGGAAAAAACGAGGAATACAATCTCAAAATTCTACGGTCGTCATACCTGATTTGGAATTTATGATTTCAGAAAATTTCGAACAAACAGGTAGGCGTACAGTAAGATCTGTAACATTTGAATTGAAGTACAATTCAATCAATAGACTTTCTTCAAAGAAGTTAATCACAAATAAAGCATAGTACCGATAAGTGTGAAATAACGTAAAAAAATAAAGTACAGTTGAACGTTTCCTATGTACAATAAAAACTTATTCAATTACTGAAAACAGCACATAGACAAAATATACAGACCCAAAACTTCTACTAACGGTTAAAATCTTGTTTAATCTGTTCAATGGCAAGTAGACCACTTCTACTTTCATCAGCAGAATCATCAGCCATTTAGCGGCACGGCTACTAACGCGAGCTGAGATCCATGATGGTTCCGACTAATAGCAGCGGTGCGCGATCCACAATGGTCGATTCTGGTGTGATAGATGGCGCTTCGCACTATGTCATGATTCTACTAAATGGGTAATAAAACACAAGATATTCACTCGGAAAATAGAGTTAAGTAGGTTGACCCTGCACTTCCCACTCAACGTTGTCATCAGTTCTAAGGACTATTCTTACAAGAAAAACATTTAACTGCGAACCTGTATAACACAAAAAAGAACTGAATGGATCAAGTAAACCAAGCAGGCCTATGCAATTAGTTCATAGTGTCACCAAGCTGATAACACTGCGATCTAGAACCTCTTTCCTGCCGTCACTGAAAATATTGACCATCTGGCAACGTCACCGTGCTATGCTAACCAGCCCGAGCAGCGTGGCAGTGGAGAGATACGCGGCAGTTACAGACAGGATTTTGTGGGCACCGGAGTTGATAGCGTCGGCAAGTGCGACATAGATGTGACATGTCCATTTGATATTTCTTCAAGTTTGAGAGTAAGTACGGGTAATGATATATGCATTGATAGGTGCGTGGAATTAGCGGGATTGGAAGCTAATGAATTTTACCATCGAAAAAAAATTGAGATATACTCCTCTCCGCCCCCTACAACACCCAACATCCCCATAACAGTTTAAAAATTTGGTCTGAATATAATCAGGAGCCTCTAAAATGTCTAAAAAAATGAAGTCTCAGCGATTTTATTCGGTTTCCGCCTGTAGCTGCGTCGCCAGTGGACCGGTTTTCAAAAACTACAAAGATTTGTCGTCCTTGGCATAGTAGAAGCCTTGCTTGAAATTTCAACAAAATCCGAGCGGACCTTCCACAATTACAGACGGACCAAGCATTATCGGACAGACAGACCGGCAGACAGACCGATGGAAACGAATGACACGATTTTCGTCACGTAAATGCCATACAACATCAATACATAATATGTCATAAGTACAGTGAATAAACAGCATTAGATAAATTTATAGAATCTGATCAATGCAAGTACATAATTACACTACAGCGGATCACTAATTAAGTAAGCTCTCTACTGTTTGCCGTGGTTGATTTAGAATGAATTGTAGGGGAAGAGTGCTATACATACACCTCAGAAGCAGTAAATGCATATGAAACTGTACCAACATACTTTTTGAAAAATGTAACGAACTGGTGTTATGGGCATTCAATTATCAAACTCTCCTCAATAAAAAAAATTCTTTTTTTTTATTGATAATAACCGATAATAGGTTTTCTTAAAAGCTTATCTTTTGCGTATAGTAGAGGGAAAAAGTTCTAAAATAAACCAGAATTATTTGAATAATAAGTCATATGCATTTCAGAAAATTTAACTAAATTAAAATGAATTAAACTAAATGTTTTAATTTATTAACCAAAACCATTAGTTATTTTCTTTATACCTACATATTTATACTAGTTAGGTAGAACAACGGCAATATTTTTAGCCATGCAGTTAAACGTGATAAATTTTGATAGTGATTTCTATTATAAGTTGCGTATTTCTCTCCATACTCTAACCAGAGTCCGACTACACTGACGAAGGACTTTGCACGTACATTGCAATGAACAAATTACAGATTAAAGGCACAGAGCGCAGCGCAGGGCGTATGGTTCGGAAATTTCGAAATTCAGATACATGACAATCGGCATTGTGCAAAATACTTATTGATTATTAGGTTTCCCAATTTCCTGGGCAATTTTCTTGATTTTTCTTTCCATAAGAGCCTTCTATGCAGTATTAAGAAACTTTTGAAAAAAAGATGTTTGATATCGGTAAAGTCGTTCTCTAGTTATGGCGTGGCCACGGAAATAGGGATTCATTTTATTTACTACTGTGATCAAAAAGTAAGGTGAAATTGTTTATAAAATGTAAATTCTTCATTTATGCTTCAAAATCAATTTCATCCCCTGCAAAGTAATCCCCGACCGATAAAACGCACTTCTGCCAACGCTTTTCCAGTCCTCAAAACAGTCGGAATAGACTTTTTCCGGTATAGATTCGGTTTTTATCTCCTCAATCGTGTCAAAACGGCGTCTCCGCATTGGCCTTTGAGGTTGCTGAATAGCCAGAAGTCGCACGGAGCCAAATCGAGCGAATACGGTGGTTGCGGAACGATATGAGTCGAGTTTTTTGGCAAAAAAAAGTCGCGAGGAACCAATGCAGTATGACATGGTGCATTATCGGGATCAAGGAACCAAGAGTTGTTCGCCTTTAATTCCGGCCGTTTCAGACGAATAGCTTCACGCTAACATCGCATAGTTTACCTACCAACTTAGGGAAAAAGAATTTACCTGCCTCCCTACTGCCCGGGGTTTTAAATGATAATTTCACCTTAATTTCTGATCAGAGTACCTAAGTATACTAAGTGACATATAAATCCGAACGCCCAGTTTAAATGGTTTTATTTTAATAAAATTTTGTATAAGTACTTAATGAAGCATAATAAGTAAATGATAAAAATTTCAAAATGATTGCACTGCTTTAAAGCCCTTTGACCTTTAATAATGTGTGGATGCACCCTGATGTGCTACGCATTCTCCAACGCGCATAGGCATGCCTCTGATCAGGTGATCAATGTCCTCCTGTGGTATCTCATTCCAGGCAACCACCAACTCCTCTCGAAGTGCT